TACCGATGGGTGTGTAATAAGATTGATAACAGGAACACAGGGGTTGCCGATGGGTGTGTAATAAGATTGATAACAGGAACACAAGAGTTACCGATGGGTGTGTAATAAGATTGATAACAGGAACACAGGGGTTGCCGATGGGTGTGTAATAAGATTGATAACAGAACACAAGTAGTTACCGATGGGTGTGTAATAAGATTGATAACAGGAACACAGGGGTTGCCGATGGGTGTGTAATAAGATTGACAACAGGAACACAAAAGTTACTGATGGGTATTGTTGACTAACTTTCTTCCATCTAGTCTATCAACTCAATATCAGGGACAGCTAGCGCAGATAAAACCTTGTGTAGCTTTGTGCGAATACCTGAAACAAACTAGTGTGTTTAACCAGCTGTTACTTTCTGAGAAAATGGGCCACTTAATTTCGTATGTAAAGTCAACTTGAACATAATGTTTACAATTGAATGATTTACCCATCTTTAGAAGTCTAAATATAACTGTTAGTTATTAACCGCATGAAGTCTATAGGAGAACATTACGTGAGTTATATGAATATGATCATGGGCGCCCACAGAAATATTTTCGGTGAGGGGGGGAGGCAAACGTATGTAGGAGATAAGCTTTTACAGTTATGCGTGCTTAAACGCAAGATCAAATTTACAGTGTTAATAAAAATTACTAAAGATATACTCTGTTCAAGTAACTGACCATGGATATGCCATATGTGGGGGGGGGGGGCTCTTGCCCCTTCTTGCGGGTGCCCATGGATATGATAGTGTCAGTTTAACACACTACTCTTGATTTCAAGGAAAGGTTCCAACCCGATGACACCTTATGTGCAAGTGCACAAAGCGGTCAGGTCAGAAACCCTAATATCCAATTCAAGTCCCTAATTCTGAACTATTGACCAGAGATAGGATAAGTAGTCAACAAAATTCACCGCCACAAAAGTTTTGTTTGGCTTTAAACTAAGTAATGGGATGGCTGCCACTCTTATAACGTACCCACAACTGACAATGCAAAAGTTGTTCAGCGGAATTTTGGCTCGTTCCTTGAACTTTCAGGTCCGTATCCCGACACTCTTATCTCTAGACTACGCCGGTCTTTAAAAGTAATTAAACAAGTTATTTTATTTCACATATTTTTTCATGTCGTGTCTGACGAACTACAGTGTTCTTAAGTTGATGAGTAACTGCAGAAACCTGATGGGCAAGGACTTAACACGGACTGAGTTTGTTACCATGATCCAAATCTGGTTACTGCTCTGAAGAGCTGTTCAGTAATTTTGTAGAAAAAAAATCATATCATTCATGTGATGTCCGGCCGAGAAATAAATAATCCGGTCTTGATCGTTGTAACTTCACAAGTTTACTTGCAACATTTAACGTTCGACTCGTTGAACATTATGGAAAATGCAACTGTAGCGCCCATGGTGGATGGCCAATAAGTCTCAAAGCTTATAAGACTAACATTCGGGTTTTGATACCTTCAGAAATTGTGTAGCGTTGTGCTTAATAACGAACAAACAATTGGTGTGTGTAATTTTCATTATGTCGCTTTGTACATCTAGGATACGCCCCCAGTGGCACAGCAGTATGTCTGTGGACTTACAATGCTAGAAACCGGGCTTCGTTACCCGTGGTGGCCAGAGCACAGATAGCCCATTTTGTAGCTTTGTGCTTAACTTCAAACAAACAAACATATAGGATACTTGTTTGCCCCTCGAATAAAATATACCCCTAGCGGCAAGTCTGAAAGCTTATAACTCTAAACAACGGGTTTTTATACCCTTGATGGGCACAGCAGAGATAACTTATTGAGCTTAACAACAAATAAACAAACTAATAAAATACGGCAAACATTCGGCATCACTCTACAGCAACGTGTACCGTTGTACAGGTGTACTGACGTATAACTGTTTCATATACTCTGGGTTAGAAGACGTAAGCTTAACGCTGGTTTGTTATATCAGCTGCAGAAAGACACAACCTAAATACTGTCAATTTTTCTTTATGGACGACTACTACAGTAATTTAAAAATTTTGAGAATTCTAAAACTATTAACGAACGAAACACTATGCTAAATATTTAATATTACCGTCTCACTGTAAAAATTCCTGCAATAATCTTTCCAGAGTATTATACAGACACTGTTGTTTGATATTTTGTTGCAAAGCAACGCAAAGGTTAACTACGTATAGCCTCAAGAGTCCGGAACCATAGCCACAAGGTGTCTCAAGAGTCCGGAACCATAGCCACAGGATATCTCAAGAGTCCGGAACCAAAGCCACAAGGTGTCTCAAGAGTCCGGAACCAAAGCCACAAGGTGTCTCAAGAGTCCGGAACCAAAGCCACAGGGTGTTTCAAGAGTCCAGAACCAAAGCCACAGAGTGTTTCAAGAGTCCAGAAACCAAAGCCACAGAGTGTCTCAAGAGTCCAGAAACCAAAGCCACAGAGTGTCTCAAGAGTCCGGAACCAAAGCCACAGGGTGTCTCAAGAGTCCGGAACCAAAGCCACAGAGTGTCTCAAGAGTCCGGAACCAAAGCCACAGAGTGTCTCAAGAGTCCGGAACCAAAGCCACAGAGTGTCTCAAAAGAGTCCGGAACCAAAGCCACAGAGTGTCTCAAAAGAGTCCGGAACAAAGCCACAGAGTGTCTCAAAAGAGTCCGGAACCAAAGCCACAGAGTGTCTCAAAAGAGTCCGGAACCAAAGCCACAGAGTGTCTCAAAAGAGTCCGGAACTATAGCCACAGAGTGTCTCAAGAGTCCGGAACTATAGCTACAGAGTGTCTCAAGAGTCTGGAACCATAGCACAGATAGCCCTTTGTATAGCTTTGTGCTTAATAACAAACAACAACAACAACATATTCCGGGCACACTAACATCTGGACCACCCCAAGCCATTTATGGAAACAAAGAAAAACTTGCTAATATGATGGAAAATGACACAATTACTGATTTGAAAGTGGAAATGATCTCACTACGTAAAATTTAGATTTTGATTTAGACACAAAGCTGTAAAAGTGAAACGTACGTTTATACACCAGAGAAAACTGTAAACTATAATGTAAATACAACTACTTGTAATTCTGAAAAGTTGCTCCAGTCATTTTATTTTGTAACAATGTCTTTGCTGCTTGCACAGCTGTTGATACAGGTGTTCTTTTGTCGTAACAAAACTACATAAACAGTTACAAAATATGATGCCAGTATCAACTCAGTACAACGATTGCTTAGCTGCCTACTTCTAATACTCATGAGTGAAGCCGGGGTCCAGGGCGAAAGGCCCCGGCTGAAAACGAATTTCGAGTTTTTCAACATCACGCAGTCCTTGGTGAATATACAGTGGAAAGCATTTCTGGCCGTTTAGATATACTCGTTTTTATAATTGAAGAAAATTGTCTAACAACCCAATTATTTAATGTTGATAATACTGATTTAAATACTTTATATAAAAAAAAAAGTTATAGTATTTTGAAACATAAAACCAAAAACACAGTTAGCGATATTTCTAAGAAAATAACCGATATATTTGTGATAAGCATTAGCTTGAGCCAGGTTTGATTAACTGTATTTGTTATGTATTAACTATATTAGTAGTTGTTACACAAGCCAAATTTTGACATTATTATATAAGATGTCAATTACTGGCAGCATATTTTAGTCATCTATATGATGATCCAGGGGCAACAGGAACATGTATGACTCAGGAACATCAAGAATATATGTGACTCGAAGGAAACAGGAATATATATGAGTCAGGAGCAACAGGCAAAATGAAAAAACCTTATAACCTGAGCACTTTTGACAAGTGGTTAGAGTGCTTGACTCACAAACCGAGGGTCGCTGGTTTCAATCCCCATCACTGAACATGCTCGCCCTTTCAGCTGGAGTGCTATACTGTGATGGCCAATCCCACTATTCATTAATAAAAGAGTAGCTCAAGAGTTAGTGGTAGGTGTTATTGGCTAGCTGCCTTCCTTCTAGTCTATCACTGCTAAATTAGGGATGGCTAGCACAGATAGCCCTTGTGTAATTTAGTGTGAAATTCAAAACAAACAAAAGTCATCAGGGGCAACAGAAATATCTAAAACTTGCTATTAAATGTTCTGTTTAGTAAATTATTACAAAAACAACAATCTGGTTTATGTAAAATCAAAGATCTACGAGGCATGGCATTATTTAAACATCTTTATATTTTATGTATATATATACATTTTATTTTATTTTTATTGGGGAAGACAAAAATAGTATTGCGTGCATGTGTGAAACAAATAATTAACATTTTTGTTTATTCAAATCATTTTGTTTCTTTTTTTAGCTCTGTTGTTTGTGTGCTTAGCAATCACAGGAATATTACGGCCAAAGCGTATAGGATTTGCATGTAATGATATTTCAATACAACACCCTTTTGTTGGAGACACCATCAGTGAAGGAGTTTTGCTTTGTTCTCTTCTTTTTGGATCTGCCTTAACAGTAACTTTTTTTCTTTTATCTAATGAAAATAGATTACTTCATTAATGGATAGGAAGCTATACTCTGAACCGAGGGGTTTGAATTCAGATACGATTAGAATAATTCCTATGAAACTAAACTAGATGCTATATCTTGTCATAATCTCCGTCATTTAATAAAAATTATTAACTTAAAATATGGAGGTTTCTAATTAATTTTTATAGTCCCTATGGATGGCAGTTTAAAGCTGATATCTAGTTAAGAAGAAAGTTTATATCTAATAAATTATTTTGTTATTTAGTATTTTGTGGTATTATTTGATTATAATTTGCATACGATCCTGAAAAAGTATCTTTAATTTCTCTATTATTTTACAAGGTTGAGAAAGTAAGGATACAAAAGCTAGTAAAATAAAGATTAAATCTTGTGTCTCAACTTATTCTGTAACTAGTAAAATATAGATTTTTATATATGTATTCAATTTCAGTTATGTAAAGACTTATAAAAATACACGTTTATTAAAAAAAACGGACACCAACACATTGAAGATAAATCCTCATTATTTTCATTACCTGTTAATATTTTGTCTAACCCTATTAACTAATATGTACATGAGTTTTGTTATATTAGTTGGTGAGCAATATGTGAAAAAACTAAAAAGAAACTGAACTGTTTTGATTACAAGATTTAATCTCGGGATACCTCTCTTCCACTCGTTCTAGATATTTATTGTCGAAGCGATTCATCACTACCCTATCTCAAAGAATCTGAATCAACAATGTTACAATCATTGGCTAATGGTTCTTGGGGACTTCCTGTTGGGGTTTGTGTACGTCTTCTTTGTAACAGAACTTCTAAAAGCCGTTGTTGGTGAGCTCAGACCTCATTTTTTGGCATCGTGTCAACCTGATTGGTCAAAAATCAACTGCTCTGAAGGGTAAATCATTGTTGTGTTGTTAATCTAAAAATAATAACGGATTACATATCATATCAGATGTATTCATTGCATAAGTTGTTAGCTTTGTGGACAACAGTAAAATTCTATATTGTCGATTAAGTTAGAATTATAGAAAGTCAGGTTGGCATATACCTAGTTCAGTCACTCTATTCATAGTCTAAGTTTGTGTTATGTGTTTGTTTCATAACATTATTGTTATGATAAAAATAGTGATTGTTTAACATATTGGTCTGTTATAGTATTGTAATGAAACTTGGGCACATACTAAAACATGCTTTATCTACAATGTTCAAATTCTGAATAGGCATTACTAATAGTTATTTAAAAGAAGTAACAAAAAATGTATGTAAAAGTTTTCACACAGCTATATGTTTGAGTAAAGTAAAAATGCTCAGAGGAACAATTAAATCACTGTACGTGTGGGCTAGTATCAAGGTTTTAATATAACAGCTAGTATTGAATCAATTGCTGCTAACTTTGAGATAAGCAAAAGAATTTGTAGTGTAGGAAATTAATATAGAGCATTGGTACAATCATGTAGTATTGATATCTCAAAATATGCAAAGTGAATCCCTTTAGGAAATGTAGATTAAAATATAATCACGTACAATTTGCTTTCAGACAGATATTTAACTAAATTTACTTCCCGATTGTGTATTTTCTTCACATCCAGATTTGTAATAGAATATAACTGCACTAGAAGAGAACAGTATCGCCTAGAAAACATAGATATTTACAAGTCATTCCCATCAGGTCATTCATCGCTTTCTTTATACTCGTTCGTGTTCATCAGTGTAAGTATACTTAACTTTTTTATTTTATTTTTGAAGTAGGTTTAAGACTGAAATATTGTACACTGAAGATAAAAAATTCTCTTCAAACTTGTTGACAGTTTTTGTTTGATTGTTATTAAGCACAAAGCTACATAATGGGCCATCTGTGCTGTGCCCACCACGTGTTTGATAGCAGTTTTTGTTTCGTTGTTATTAAGCACAAAGCTACACAATGGGCTATCTGTGCTTTGCCCACCACGTGTTTGATAGCAGTTTTTGTTTCGTTGTTATTAAGCACAAAGCTACACAATGGGCTATCTGTGATGTACCCACCACATGTTTGATGATAGTTTTTGTGTTATTAAACACAAAGCTACACAATAGGCTATATCTGTTGTGCCCATGACAGATATCAAAACCTGGTTTTTAGTGTTGTAAGTCTTGAGACTTACTGCTGTGCCATTGGGTGGGACTGATACCAGTTATTAAATATATGCATGCTTTTATTTCTAATTAAAATATATAAAATTCGTTGACATAAAATTAATTTTGTAAGCATGGAAATTGATAAAACTTAAAATTTTTTTGCTTTTCTAGTTTTTTATCTTAAACCAAAATTAACTTAATATAACTTTATTTTTAGCGTAATTAATATTACTTTAAGTGATAAAATACATTTGGTTTACAGTTTTCATTTTCAGGTCCCATGTGTTGTAATAAAATTTTAAATAATATACTGAGATAATTGTTCAGAACTACAAGTTTCTATAAAGAAATATTTATTCATAGGTAATCTGAATTACATTTCTTTGTACTTATGCTTTTTTTTTTCAGTTATATGCTCAAGTTCGACTTCAGTGGACATCAAAGTCGCACGTTCTGAAGTTAGTGTTACAGTTGGTCTTCCTTTCCTGGGCTCTGGTGTGTAGTTTAACTCGAATCTCTGATCGTCGTCACTTCTGGTGGGATGTTCTTGTGGGGTGCTTAATAGGAATTATAGGAGGAATTTTAACGGTATGATATCATTGTTTGAAGATGTGTGATACTCCCTAATCATTACAAAATCACATATAAAGTCAAAACTTTCTGAGAGAAAATTAGTTTTGTTAAGCCTAACACTTTAATATTACAGTTAAATTTTCATTTTCTTATTGTTACTGAAAATCAAATAAATTCCTCTAAGTGTTGGTCCTACCCTGCTCAAAGTGCAAGTAGCACATACTAATATAACAAGATAGAGTAGTTTATGCTGGACTTCCCACAGTTGCTGATACCACATTGATCCTTCTAACCCTGTGCTGGTGTCAAGCAAGCTACCACAGCATTTGAAGTGATCTTTCCATCATGTTTTGGTAGCAAGTTCACATTGTTTCTTTTGGCCACGTGGGTTTTCTCTGTCACTATCAACTTATGCCAAATAATGTCCACATTATATTAATAGTATGGAGATCTTATTGAACCTGAAAATAACTTAGTGACATTGTATACCGAAATTGATAGTCTGTCCGTCATACATAAGTTTAAAAGTTGTGATTATAGTCCTTTAATCATACCATACTCTGTACTTTAATTGAGTTATTTACATATCAGAGACAAAAACTACAATACTAGAGTCTAGATGTTGCACATCATCAATATGTCATGCTAAAACTTCCTCTAGCAAGAAAAATACAAATAATGTTACTATAAAATGATTCATAACATTTGTATGTGTGTGTGTTAGTATCCAGAGTTGGCTGGCTTGATTACTGTAGTTTTGATATGGTAACTAGAAACGTCTGATTGTGTAAATGGGGTATTCTGTCTTAGGACCTTTGCCCAAAAAGGTGAATAAAAAAAAAAAGACCTGAAATAGGAAAAATTTCCACTTTTGTTATACACTTCTAGGTTGCATCACTCCAAGTTGGATGGTTCAATTAGCTTAACTTTTTGTTTGGTAATTGGAAACTGTCTGATGGTGTACATGGCCTATTTTGTTTTAGGATTTTTGTCCAAGAAGAATTTAAGCGATGCACATGAAAATCAATATATTTTTTAAAAAATCAGAAGGTAGTGGATCTTTTGGAACATTGGAGTTGTTGTTTTACTCCTCCTTTGTTTACACCTCTGTGGTGTGTTCTGCAGGATATATAGTAATCATCCTCAGTCTCCCCTCCCCTCTTTTCTTTTCAACCAGAGTTATGTCTCTGTTTTAGTTACCTTAAAACAGATTCTTACTTAGCACCATATAATATATTTTTAACTATGTGCTGTGCGTGAAGAGACTAAATTAAATCTCTGATTAAATTAAAAACTGTACAACATAGTGGTTTCGATTATGCATCCCTACAGCATTTCCCCAAGCCAGAGCTTGTTAATTTTTTTCTTGTGTGCTGTTTTCTAATTATTCTTGCAAATAATTTTTATTCAATTTGTTTGTCTAGGTTCGATGTTTTTTACGAAACAGCTTGTTTTGCATGGTAAAAGTTGTGGCAGGAGATGAATCGGCCAGCTCCACAAAGAAAGATAATTAAAAAGAAGCCATCATCTGTTGGATCAAAGTAATCTTGAAAATAAAAAGAAACCTAGAATGAGAACCTGACCCGAAAAAGCAATTACCATTTAAGAACTAAGGAGTATAAACATAAGCTAAAGGAATAGGATGTTCAGTTGAACATAAGCTAAAGGAATAGGATGTTCAGTTG